CCAAGTGTTCGGTTTGTTACTTCCGTCTGGCCATCGGTTTGCGGGTGGCTTGATGTACTAAACTTGAGTTTAGTACCCATCTTTCTCCACAAAGTCATCCAAAAATGACTTAAGAATTTGCTGTCTCGATCGGAAACCATACTTCGGGGAATGCCATGAAGTTTGACAATATCCCTAAAGTACAAATCTGCAATTTGTGAAGCATCATGAGTTATTAGGCACGGAACAAAGTGTGCCATCTTTGAAAATCGATCAACCACCACCATGATTGAATCCTTTCCTCGCTGCGTTCGTGGCAAACCGGTGATGAAATCTAGACTCACGTCTTCCCAAGGAGCTTGTGGGACGGGTAGCGTCATATGCATTCCTTGTGCGGCTTTGGAGTGGCTTTTGGCGAGTTGACAAGTATTACAACGCCGAATAAAATGCTCGGTGTCTCTTTCCATCTTTGGCCAGTAATAATGCTCTTGAAGCATCATAAAAGTTTTATCCATCCTGAAATGACCAGCCAAAGAACCGCCATGAACTTCCTCGATTATTGTTTCGCGCAAACTACGTTTCGGGATACATAGTTGGTTGCCACGAAACAGAAACCGTCTTTAATGAGGAAGTTACCAGGGCCGTGTGAGCCACTTATGGTATGCCTCCTTGAAATCTTCATCGTCTTGGTATAATCCTTGCAAAATTTCAAAGCCAACAAGTTTGGTACTAAGTACCGTTAGTAATAAATGTCGCTGGGATAAGGCGTCAGTGCCTTTGTTCAGGGTCCCGCTCTTGTGTTTTATGGAGAAGGTGAAGGTTTGGATGAATTCAACCCATTTGGCATGACGGGGTCGGAGTTTATGTTGCCCTTGGATGTACTTCAGTGCTTCATGATCAGAATGGAGTATAAACTCCTTGCTAATCAAATAATGCCTCCAATGCTCAAGAGATCGTACAAGAGCGTAAAACTCTTTGTCATAAGTTGAATATCTCCTTCGGGTGTCATTCAACTTCTCACTAAAATATGACACGGGGTGGCCTTCTTGGGATAATACGGCTCCTATGCCAATGCCGGAAGCGTCGCATTCAACTTCGAACAACTTATCAAAACTAGGCAAAGCTAACACCGGTGCATGTGTTAGTTTAAGTTTGATAGTTTCGAAGGCCTGTTGTGCACTTGGATTCCACTCAAACTTTTGATGTTTGGTTAAATCCGTGAGAGGAGCTGTGATAGTACTGAAATCCTTGACAAATCTTCTATAGAAAGAAGCAAGGCCATGAAAACTCCGGACTTGTTGCATAGTGGTTGGCATGGGCCAATCTCGTATGGCCTGCGTTTTTCTTTCATCAACTTTGATCCCTTCATTTGAGATAAAATATCCCAAAAATTCAGTTTCTTGAGAGAAGAATTGGCTCTTCTCAAGGTTGCCATACAATTGTTCTTCATCAAGCTTCCTAATCACCAAAGTGAGATGATTGATATGTTCTTCACTCTTGCTATAAATCAAGATGTCGTCAAAGTAGACAACGACAAAATGACCTATAAACGGCTTCAGGACCTGGTTCATCAACCTCATGAACGTACTCGGGGCGTTAGTTAAGCCGAAAGGCATAACCAACCACTCGTAAAGACCAAACTTAGTCTTGAAAGCGGTTTTCCATTCATCTCCTTCAAAAATC